GCACTGCCTCGCCCACAATTAATCAAGGCAGCATCTCAATCGCAGGGGATATGAGGGATGCTCGCTCTGGTGCTTGAACGGAGCTGGGTGGCCAATTCGCTGGGACCTCTTGGTTGGGACGTCTCGGCTGGGACCTCTCTGCTGGCCACTCGCCGCACCAACGCCGGGCAGCAGCAGAGAGGAAGAATCAGTGGGAAGCTCTCATGCTGAAAAACACTAATAAAAGGAAGTTAAAGCTCAATTTTAAGGCTGCTAGACATCTCTGGGAACTATTTCTGGAAAATGACCCATTTTCTCTGCTCAAGCCTCTTAGCATCCAGCGTGACATAACCAGACAGCTTTGTGCTCATTGTCCTCACAAGCCATCCCTCTCCTTGTCCTCTGAAGACATGCCAACACATCCCGCAGGTCACCAGGAGCTAGCATCATTCTTCCCCTTTTCCTTGGAGTTTGCCCCAAAGAGGAGATCACCTCAGACAGCTCAGTCACTGCTGTGTATGTTAAACTTCTGGTTGTTTTCCTGCCAGCATGCGTGAGAACATGAGGTCTTCTCCTGACCAGTTGGAGAGCTCAAGGTCTTCATTAAGAGCAGTACATATAGTTAGCACCATACGACAATTTAAAATATCTCGGTGATTTTCTATACCAGTCATTGCTGCTGTTTGTATATGTACAACCTAATTACCACAAAGTGGTATCTGACTTGCCATTTTGATGTTTTTGCTGCAAGATGAGTCCAGCTGACCACCGGTGGCTCAGGGGAGGAAGGTGGACCCTGGCCTGCAGGTCTCTCCTAGGCAATTATTTCCAAGCCAACTGCAATGCACTGTGATGGCATCTCATCAGCATAGACACCTCAGGAGGCTTTAACTGCCCACAGACCTCTCTTGAAGAACTGCCACTGGCCTGTTTAACCCGGGTTAAACCTGTGGTGTGTGGAGGCAGCCATGGGGCTGGGGCAGCTCCACCCCCCCCAAGGCTGTCATCCATCGAGGCTCAGCAACAGCTTGCATGAAGACTGCATTTGGGGGACCACCACCACAACGGGTGCTACTGAAGGGGTGGGGGGTCCCACCACCAAGATGGGTCGTACTGAGGAGGTCCCACCACCAGGATGGAGGGTGCTGAAGGGACGCCAGCCTTGATCGTGGGCATCCTTCTGGCACCTCCTGGCCGTCCTTCCCTTGCCATACCTGGAGCATCAGTGACATCTGCTGCTGTCTCTGGGCATCGGCGCAGGACCCTCCATGCAGCCACCCTCCACGGCTCGGCTCCGTCCCCACCGGCCTCTCTGGCTACACGGAGGGTGGGGTGTTCCCGGACTGCCGAGGCCACCACCTATGTCCCCCTGCCCAGGGCTGGGGCACAGCCCCTGTAGAACCACCGCCTGCTGCTGTCCCAGGGGCTCCCACCATCCCAACGTGCCCTTCCCTGGGGCCTGCACCTGATGATCTGCTGGAAATTGAGCCTAAAATGCCAAAACAAAAATAAAATAAAAAGAAGAAAAATTTTACTTGGGTGGTGCAGTGGCTGGGGGGTTTATTTTCCTGCAGGGGTGCAACAGGAGCTGCAGCTACATGGGGAAACGGGGAAGAAGGGTTGGGGCATGAAGAAGGGCACCAGGAGGTTCATTTCTCATAGGGGAGGTTTCCTTTTCAAGGGGACCCACAGAAGCGCCAGAGCAAAGCAGCAACCACCACCACGTGCGACGTGGTCTTTCCCAGCAGCGTGCACCCATCACATCTGCACCCAACGAGGCATGAAGTGAGCAGGAGCCCGCAGATATCTTGGCTCTGTACAAAGGATTGATTTGCATGGCGCACCCAGGATTTTATCCCACACTGTTCCCCAATGCTCATGTCATCCCCGTTGCCCCCCAGGGGTGCAGGAGAGCCAAGCCGAGCAGGGCTGGGCCCTCTCCCTGCAGAGAAGGGGCTGCACCCTGCCATTCCAAACTCCTCCTCAGCCTCTTGAACCCAACGTAACTTCCCAGCACTCCCAAGCCCACCACAAATTCCCACAACCAGGACAACTGCCCACCTCTACCAGCCCATGCTGGGGTTCATATTCCCACAGTGAATGAAAGAAGCCAAAAACCATCATGTTTTGTTGTTTTTTTTTTTTCTTTTCCAATAGTCTCACTTTATTAGATACCACATCAAGAGAGGATGTTGTGCTGCATGCAGCGGAAGACTGGAGTATTTCTAGTTCCTGTGTAACATTTTCTTTTTCTCTTAATAGTTGTAAACTGATATTTTGCTGTAAAATCACTGCATGCAAGTTTGAATGCAAACAGCAGTAGAAGAGGCTTTTTTCTTTTTTTTTTTTCACCATTCCCAATCCATATGTGCATGCTTTATTTACAACGAAAAGAAGTCATTCAGGGCAGAAATTACCATCAGAAAAACTGAGAAGAGGGTGGCAAACAGAGATGAGGACTGTGGTTTGCACAATACAGAGAGGGGGACTGGCAAGTTGCACTTTATTTTTATGGGTACAAAGAGATGATTTGAGTATCATTTGTGTGACAGGAAAGCAGGCTGAGCAGAGAATGTCAATACAGGACATGGGTAAAGGCAACGTTAATTTAATTGTTCTGCACACACAAAGGAGGCTGGGCTGCTGCAGGTCTGAAATAAATTAAGGAATTGCTCAAATATTTTTTTTTTCTCTTTTTTTCTTAAAGGTAATTTCATTCCCAACCACACATTTCCCCAGCACAGCTTGGAAGCGCACTGTGCCCAACTGCTGCTCCAAGAGGTATAAGCAAGGGCTGTGCAAACGTTTTGGCCAGGTCCATGACTTCGGAAGGGATGAAAGCAGCATCCTACAGCTGAACGCCCTCTGCCCAGAGCAGTGAGTGCCCTGGCATGGCTACAGGAGGCAGCACTGGACCCAGAGGGAAATGATCCACAAGAACCGGGTCATTTCAGTCTGGGTCCTCTGCACAGCCCACGCTGAGGGCAGCGTGGCTCGGCGTCTCTGGGACATTGCACTTACTGGTGCAGAGGTGAGAACTGCGTGAAAGGGAGGGGAAAGCCGTTTTTGGAGTGTCCTCTCCCATTACACTCTTCCGTGCATCATGCCCCAAGCTGCTCCCATGGCAGTGGCCATGCCACAGGACAGAGGCCGGGGTGATGGAAGGAGCTGCCCCAGCTCTGGCTGAATGGAGCAGAGGATGCCCACGCTGGTTTAGGTTTGCTTTCCCCATCCGTGGTCCAAGGGTGGCTCCTGGTGGAGAGCTGGGTGCTGGCAGCACCCAGCCAGGGCTGGGGGGGAAAGCAGACCGCTGTGGGAGTGCAAGCCCTGAGCTGGGCTGGGGAAGGGCTGCTCTGCAGCAGCAGCATCGCTCGGCACGCAGAGATGTTAGCATCACACAGCGACGTTCGCATTGCTCAGCACACAGCCCCCATCTGCTGCAGAAATCACAGCCCTGCTCACCGCAAGTCAGCACCCAGAGCAAATTCTGCTGGGGGAAGGGGGGGGAATAATCAAGAATAAGAAAATAACTCATCCAATTCAAAAGAAACAGCTCTGCAGTACAGCTGAATTAAGAGCACGCCCCACAACAGCACGCCAGCAGACTACAGCAGCAGGTTGCAAGGGAAGTCATGGGACAACAGCGGGAACCAAAGGGGCTGAGGTTCAGGTTTCATACAACATGCGCAGTGTGTAGCTGACCAACAATATATTCCAGTAGTGCTTATAGTGCTGCTATCGCCATTGCTATGCTTGAGATTGTCCAGAGACAGCAAATGGTACCAAACCTGATCAGCATCAGTCTGAAAGTGTCATGACTCTCCTGCTATCAAGAACAAATCAAACACCTCCAGATGATCATTAAAGCGCTGGTTGAAGACAATGGTTCTTGTTCAGATTTGAAGAAAAAAAAAAAAATTGGAAGACCTCTAACTGTTCCAGCTAATTTCAGTATTTGTGGTATTTCAAAGCAATAATCCTTGCACACATCAGCTCGTTGGTGGGAAGTATCTTGTCCCTCGGCTTCCCTCCCGCATGTGGCACGGCAAATGGTCAGCAACGGAAAGGTTAGTCTGAGGAGGGCCCAGGGACTGCCCTCGGGGTTCAGCTAGTCACCACTACGCAGCTAGGACATGAAGAGGAGGTAGTCACAAGCTTGAAACACGGGTGTGCTCCTACAGCAACGGAGTGCGTGAGTTCCTCGGGCGAAAGGAACCACACGTGGTGGCTGGAAACGAACACGAACCAACCCAAATCTCTGTTTCCCTGTGAGCACAGAGTGGCTCCCTATTTCTTGTTATTGTTATTGTATTATTGGTGAATCTTCTCAGCAAAGAATGTACCACAATATTGCTCAAATGTACCAAGTCAGAACTAAAGCTCAAGCAAGACTCGCAGGATTACATCAGTGACACAGGCTTCAGCCTAATCACGACAACACAGATACCAGGCTACGGTTACGATCCACACCAAAGCCAAACAGCTTTTTCGTTATTGCAACTGAGGTATTGATATCACACAAGCAGAACGGGCCGATGCTCCAACACCAGCGCTCAACACTCTCCCCACGCCGGACGAGTGCACGGCCGGTCCGGTGGCCGCGCATCTCGCTGGGAGATAAAGGAGCCGCAAGCCGGTGGTGATGGGACGAGCCACACGAGCGGAGGCTGGAGGAACACAGAGCATCACACACACGACAGGAAGGCTATCACGGCGTGCGTGAGACTAGTGAGAAAGAGGAACAGTCAGAGGGTAACTATTGCTTGACAAAATTACACACCAGGATAATTCAATGACCCCCCCAAAAAAAACAAAGGAAGTGAATACAAAAGATCTGGGTTAGTTTCCAGGTGGAGGTGAGGACAGGGCACAGAGGATGCTTGGAGGAGGCAGAAGAGCATTGCTGCCCTGGGACCAGAGGCGTGTAGCAAGGCGTGACTGCGCTGGAAGACGGACATCAGAGATCTACAGGGGCTTGGCAGAGGATGGGCTGTTTGGGGAGGTTCGGGCAGCAGCTCCCTTTAATCACTGGCAACGTGGTTCTCATTTTGGAGGGTGTGCCAGCGTTCAATCTTCTTGTCCTTGTTCTTCAAACATTCATACCAGTGTTTTAAGCGCTCCCCCTTAGCCGTAATGCCAAGCTGACAGCCACCTGGAAGAAAGGCAGAAGAGGAGACGACATATTCAGAGATGATGGTGATGTTCCAGTAAATCACTTCCATGGGGAAAGACCCCACGTTTGAGGCATTTCTCTCCATCTCCTAGATTTAAAGTGTAGTGGAAACCACTACAGCTGCTCTGCCTGCACAGAAGACCTCACGGGATGCTGGAGATGGGGCAGTACAGTGGGTGTATGGTATTTTATGGCCTGATACAAGCGCCAGCCAGCCTGCATCGTCCCACCTCAAAGCTCAGCCTGGGGTTCCTCACAGGGCATCCTGTGCATCCCTCCCGTACAGCGGGCACTACATCGGGCATCAAAACTGCACCCCCGAGCACAGAGACTTGCAGCTCACCGATGTAATCATTCGATTTTCCAATGTCGTAATCCCAGACAGAAATGTCCAGTGACTTCTTGGCCAGATCGCTATGTTTTATATCATAGAAGAACTCCTGCAGAAGGAGAACACCCACGTCACCCCAAGCATCCCAGGAAAATACACCCAGAAAACTGCAGTTAAGGAATTGCAAATGATCTCTCTGTACAGCCTGAATTCAAAATCCAATGAGAGGATATTTAAAATACATTAATGAAGAGCAAATGCCCCTTCCCTGCGGCATCTCTCCTCCCAGGACAACAGCATGCTGCACAAACCCATAAGCTGAGCTCACCCCTTGTATCTAAGTGAGCAGTGTGCAGGTGTCCCATCAAGGCAGCACCAGCCACAGGACGCCCCGGGATGCTCATCCCACCCATACCCCCTGGCCAGGGTGACATGGAGTCGGCAGCGCAGGCAGCAGGGAGGTTTCAGTGTGTACCGGCGCTGCCTGGCACTGAACTGGTGAGATCTCCTGTGGCAAAGTCATTCCTAAAATATTCCTGGATACAGAAAGGGGAAAGGACGCTGAGCGAGGAGCCGAACCTTGGGAAGCTTGTCTTCCACCTCCTCCACACAACATAGTAATTGGTTGAGTTGATTTAATAATATAAAAATTAGATCTGTCCTTACCTCATTAAACTCAGGATTCAGTGTTTTCTTCTTAATCTGTGTCTTGTGCTTGGCCTTTTTTCCCATGTCAGGTTTCAGCCAACTGGGGGCAACAGAAAACAGCTCAAAACTCAAGTGCAAGAACAGTGTGAGTTTATAGAAAAAAAAGCAACTGAAGATACTTAAGGCAAAGAAATGGGTTAGCCAGTCTCCCTTCCCACCTTCTAAAATTATCTAAAATAAATGTAAAATCAGTACTGAATACTCTTTTTTCTTTTTTTCCCTTGGATTGCCAGATGAGAGACAGAAATCCATAAAGACCCGCTTTGCACAGAGCGCTGAGCTCAGCAGAAGCCTTTCTGGGGGAGCATCTCTTGCTCAGAGGAGCTGGGTAACGTTCAGACACCAGAAGGCAGCGAGCCTGCACATGCACTCTTGATGTCCTTCCAAACCATGCCTTCATCCCAAGTCTTTTTTCCCCAAGCCGTGCTAAAAGAAACGGTTGTAGGCATTTTACAGAGCAAAAGCGGGTGAACTCTGCGTTTTGCTGGGGAGGAACCTGCCGAGGCTGACAGTGGGAAGCAGATAAAATGGTTAGGGAGTATGGAAAATGAGCAGCCAGGCTGGTCACCAGCAGATGAGGGCAATTGCACAGCCAGTCACTGAGCCTGGCTGCTGGAAAACCCAGCCAAGAACATGTGAACACATACAGAGATAGGGAGAAATGGGGGGGATGATGATTAAAAATAGCCCGTCAGTGTTTAATACCATGCAGACTACTATACTCAGCCAAGGCAGGTTCACCTACAGAATGTAAGAAAAATTAGGGCTTGGCCTTTGCAGCCTGGCTGCAGACCCAGAACTAAATTGTAGAGTTGGCATTAACTAGATCTGTGTTGGAAGTTGATTTAAAAATGGAAAGCCACCATCTTCTGTTTGTAGGAATGGAAAATATAAAAAATAAGAGAGAGACTGAGAAGGAAAACTACTCAGTTCCACTCAGCTACAAAAAGACATGCAAAATGTTCAACACAAGAGTTATTGAATGACTTTTAGGGAGAATAGAGGTTTTTTCCTGAAGGCAAAGAGCAAACAGCAACAAAAACCCATCTGCAGCCACAACCACAACCAGGAATGACTGCAGGGTCCTCTCTGCGTTGCAGTTTATGAAGTTCGAGTTAAAATGATCTTATTCCCCGTGTTTGCAGGAGCCACTCAACAAGCGCTGCTCCCCCGTCACCTGCCTCCGCAGCTGAGAGCACCGACGGGTGTGCTGCTGCTCGAGGAGACCCGCTCCCATTGCAGCAAGGTATCACTGGCATGAATCACAGCAAACACCACTGTCTGCATTAATTAAGCCGATTTGTTTGCAGGGGAGACACGGCGCAGGACAGGGACAGGCATGGCAGGGCAATCCCTGGGCTCCCAGCTACAAGCACATGGGCTTACAGGGCAGCAAGTGGGGCACGTGCTCTAGAATCACAGAATTGTTTAGGTTGGAAAAGACCTTTAAGCCATCAAGTCCAACCGTTAACCCAGCACTGCCAAGTCCACCACTAAACCATGTCCCTAAGAACCACATCTACACATCTTCTAAATACCACCAGCGATGGAGACTCAACCACTTCCCTGGGCAGCCGGTGCCAGTGCCGACCACCCTTTCGGTGAAGAAATTTTTCCTAATATCCAACCTAAACTTCCCCTGGTGCAACTTGAGAATGTTTCCTCTTGTCCTATCGCTTGTTACTTGGGAGAAGAGGCCGACCCCCACCTCACTACAGCCTCCTTTCAGGGAGTTGCAGAGAGCAATAAGGTCTCCCCTCAGCCTCCTCTTCTCTAAACTAAACAACCACAGCTCCCTCCGCTGCCCCCTGGTGCAACTTGAGAATGTTTCCTCTTGTCCTATCGCTTGTTACTTGGGAGAAGAGGCCGACCCCCACCTCACTACAGCCTCCTTTCAGGGAGTTGCAGAGAGCAATAAGGTCTCCCCTCAGCCTCCTCTTCTCCAGACAAAACAACCCCAGCTCCCTCAGCCGCTCCTCCCCAGCCTTGTGCTCCAGACCCTTCACCAGCCTCATTGCCCTTCTCTGGCTACGCTCCAGCACCTCGAGGTCCTTCTTGTAGTGAGGGGCCCAAAACTGAACACAGGATTCGAGGTGCAGCCTCACCAGTGCCAAGTACAGGGGCACTATCACCTCCGTGGTCCTGCTGGCCACACTATTCCTGATACAAGCCAGGATGCCATTGGCCCTCTTGGCCACCTGGTCATGCATGGAGAGACATCAAGCCCTCTCCACCCTGCAGGCATGGTGGGTCAAAGCCAGGGAGAATGGCCTCTCTTGTCCTCCAGCTCTGCACCTACGGGGTGGCTGTTGGGTCTGTGTGTTTGGGAACCTACAGGGAATGGATGGACCTAAGGGCTGGGTCAGTCTCACCTAGCTTCAGCCATGGCAGGGGCACTCAAGCAGAGCATTACCACCTTGCACAGGCATCACCGGTGGGTAGCTCAGTCCTGCATGAGGTCTCTAGGTGCTTGGCAAACATTCTCCTCTCTCCAGTGGTTTTGGAAGAAGGTCTCAGAGCATCAGCTACTGTCCAAGGACAGCGGGTGGCTCCATGACCACACGTTACCACACTAAGCCATCCCCAGCTCCCACTTACAGTTTAACGAAAGGGTCTGAGTATCCGTTGGCATCCATGGCTGCTAAATGCACACAGCGTACGATGCCAACAATCAGGCCACCCTGCTGGGTGCTGTACATGAGGGACACGAGGATCTTCCCACGCTCCTCCACATCCCCGCCACGATCTACCTGCAAGAGGAAGCGACCAGACATGGGGACACAGAGGCTGAGTGAGGAAGACTGTCAACCGCAGAACAGATGAGACAAGATGGATACAAGGGAACCTTGTGTCCCCATGGAAGGGGGTGGGGGGTGGGAAAGGGGGCTCGTACATGAGAGATGATGGGTGAATCATGCATGGAGCATGTCGTCCTCCAAGGACTCTTACCTCCTCTTCGTATAGTGCCATCCCACGGGATGAGCCCGTTGTTCCAGCACGCTTCATCTTGGATGGGGAAGGGAAAAAGAGAGACTGCCATGAGTGACTGCAGCTGGAGAGGCATCATCTTATGGCAGACACACCGCCCGGAGCCCAGTCCTGCTCTTTTGCTGGCCTCAGGAGTGGAAAGGGGCTCAGGTAGGTTCCTCTGATCCTTCAACCTCCACCTCAGCAGACTCAGCACCTCAACCAGAGCACTGGGGAGCAGAGCTCAGGGAAGGAGCAACCTGCCCTCTCCTCCACAGTGACATACATCAGCATAGTCTGGGAACGCCAGCAGATCTGCAGCCACCAGGGAAGTCCCTGGAGTCACTTCCCCTGGATTCCCACCACGCTTTTATCTCCTGGCCTTGATGTGTCACATCAGCCCAGGAATGGGTGGGAATCCAACTCCTAAAGATGCCAAGGAAGTCAGGCACCTACAGCTCTTGGCTGGTTCTAGCTCCAAGCTCACCACTAACTCCCTCACATGCCGCTTGTTAGCAACCTCAACATTAACAGTAGCAGAAAGAAACGTCACAGAAACTCACTGGTATTACTCTCTCCAAGCAGATGTTGAAGTTCTTTTTCTGATTGGCTTTCAGTTTTTTCAAGGAAACTCTAGTTTCTCCAATAAACTCGTTGTGGCCAAATTTGTCTTCATCACACACGGAGATCCTGAAGGGAACAGGAAAGGTGAACATCAACCAGGCTGGAGCAGTACCTGACTCTGGAGCACGAAACCACTCCTGCAATGGCACTACTCAAGGGGTGGCTGAAGCCTCCAACCATCTGGCTCTCCTTTGACAAAAAGCAGTCAGAAAACACAACTTCTGTTCTGCCAGAAAAAACAACATTTTTAATACATGTTCTGCGATGGGGCAAGAAATCAAAAGGTAGCAATTTCCTGTAGGAAGGAAATGTCAAAGATTTTGAGAGACATCTAAATGTTTTGCTGGGACACTGTCAAATCATGCACAGATATGCAATATGCAAATCTCTATGCTGGTAAGAATAATAGTAATGCCAATAATTTTAATATTAAATGACAAGGTCAAAATGCCTTTCTTTCTCTTTTTAAAAAGGACCATCAAAATCAGCATGTTCATGTGAAGCATGTTGATTTTGACCAAAAACTCTGCATTTCCAGGTGCTCTATCAACACCTGCACATGGCTGCCTGTGCCCTCCTGAGGAAGGCTGGCTTGCTATGCCCCGTGCAAGGAGCCCCAAGGTCCCCATCCCACCATCCCATGGAATACCCCAGCTCCTCTGCTTGCCTGAGGGTTTTCCTTTGCATGTCCTCATCTGTGATGCCGTGGTACACCAGGGTCTCATTCCACACAGGGTTACGGGTGTTGCGCAGGGTCTTCGTCCTCAGCTTATTTGACTATGGCATCAAAACAAAACACGGCATCATTACACCCCTGAACTCCTCCCAACCTAAATTTTGGCTCCTGGCAGAGGAGTGTAAATTAGATGCTCCATCACCTCTGGCTCACAAGAGGTGGTTTGACTGGGGCACGGAGGACTCTGCAGGACATCACCGCTGCCTGGCGAGGCTGTCGCGCCGGCGAGCCATCAACTCCAGGTGAGCATCACCAACCCGACAAGGTGGACCTTTATGCAAGCACTGGGGACTCTGTCACCTGCAGTGGCCAGGGCAGCCTTCACCACCTGGCTTTTAATTTTTTTTTTTTTTTTTTTTTTTTACTATCTGAGGTCTACTCACTCAAGGACACTTGTACAAGAAAAAGTTGCACAGGGCAGGCTGTGTGGGGCTTGGGTAACGGCTCTTGTGGTTTAAAGGAGATGACAGCTTGGGAAACGAGGAGCTCTGTCAATTGTTCACATGTCTTTCACAAACACACGTGCAAAATAAGAAATTAAAAGAAAAAGCAGCCAACAAGAGAGCAACAGAAATCAAAGCAATTCCCAAGATCACACCACCTTGGATTTACTCTATGCAAGACCAGAAAGTCCCCGTACATAAAGTAAACCTGTAAATATCAATCCAATGGTTTTATTATCAGGTTTTACCCTTGTTTTACACTTCAGGGAGTGAGATTTCTAGGGCTTTCTTCGATGGGAAGGAGTCAGAGTTTACTCAAAGGTTATTTCTTCACAGGTCTAACAAGAACACGCTGCAGCTTCAAAGCAAATGGATCGCTCAAACTCCAGTATTAACTATATTTTTTGTCAGATATTTTGTGATGCATTAATAGTGTCACCTCCTCTGGAGCTCCCCTCCATCCCTAAGCAGATCCTTGTCTGCAGTATGAGCTGTTCCTCGGGTATGGGAGAACATTTGCCAGCATCATCACTTTTCAGAGATACCTCCTGGGTAAAATAGCAGCGGTGAGCGACTGCGCAGAGAAACCAAGGGGAGAAAGCCTGATGCAGGGTAGGGACCTCAGGTGGCTTTGAGAAACCTCTGATGCATCCCCAGCCCAAAACACACCCAAACCAGGCAAAGCCTCACCTTGCTGGCTCCAGGCAAGAGGTGCAGTTTGACATAGGGATCCGCCAGACCATTTGAGTCCATTGGTTTTAAGCCCTAAAAGATAATAAAGAAAACACAGTGCATGAATCCTCCTTAAGCAGAGCCAGGGAAGAGAAAAAGCTACCCATGAAGCAACTCGGTAAAGACAAAACGCATTCAGCAAGCCAACAGCCTTTTCCTCTGCCCCGAGCAGGCGTGGGTGCCACGATGTGCTGAAACATCAGACCCACTCAAGGCAAAGCCCCACCGACCTCTCCTGCCCAGCCAGGAGCAGCGGGGCCGGGCTGGGTCTCTGGGGGGAGCAGCCTTTGCCAGCGGCCACACTGCTCCCAGCCCATTGCACTGGGGGAGCTGGGAGCCAGACGGACTTAAATCAGTGAAAGAAGGGGAAAAAGGGGACCACTTACTTTGGCCTTGATGAGGGTGCAGTGCAGGGAGCTGTTCTCCTGGTCGTAGAGCAGGCTGAACTCCAGTGCTCCCAGTGTAGCTGACAGCGGAGGGGGCAGAGAGGAGTTGGAAATAGGACCTCATTAAAACGCCAGCCAATAACTGTTTAATCAGCCCTGATTAGTAATAATTAGAAAGATTTGCGGTTCAAATGTAAAGCCATTTAAAGCACGTGGGTCTGCACCAGCATCGGCCAAACTGCCACACACAAAGCCAGGCAGATTCATGATCTCTGCTCATCAAAGCTTTACAAAGCTGGAACTGCCCAGGGTACAGGGAGGGCAGCTTGGGGCTCTTGAGGTGATTTTAATATTCACCAGGCAAAGGATGTAATGGTACAAACCCTTCTGTGGGCACAGCTCGGGGAGGCGATGCCACCCCAGGACCACCCTGAGAAGGTGTTTCAGCTCGGGTGGCCAGCATCTCCTCCCAAGGTTTGGGGCTCCATGTTTCGCCCTCATTTTGACTTGTTGGAAATCAGCTCACACTTGTCTTCACGTGCTCACCAGGAAAAGATCACAGAACCTCAGCTGGGTCCATCTGCTCCTATCCGAGCACGATTTCTGCACCCGCCCCTGGCCTGGAGCAGGTCTTCCCATCCTGGGTGGGAATGGGCTGGACAGGCAAAGCAATGCCCTGCCACAGATGCTCACCCTCATGCAGCAAACTGCCTCATTAGGGGAGCAAATGACTGAACCCCAAGATCTCATCGTGTAAAGGTACTGAAGCCACCAAGACTCTCCTACGGACAGGTCCAGGTGCGTTGCTTGCAGCGAAGGATGCTCTGATGGAAAGAGGCAGCCGCCTTCAGGACTCAAATTTGGAAGTGGGAAGGTTGTGCGAACACAGAGCCTAAACCACCACGCGTCAGAGCTCAGTAATTTGGTGCAAAACTGACTGAAGATCCCACGAGCTGCGCTGAACTGACTGCGCAGGGAGAGCCTGCGAGACCCTGCCCCAGCTCCGAGCCCCGTGGGGAAGCAGCGTTCCCCAAGGACTCTCCCTGTCAGAGACCCATGACCTTATGCCGTGCGTCACCGTCCTGCAGCAGCCACCTCCTCAAAATTCCGGGTTTCCCAAAGAAACCTGTCCCTCCCCTCTGGCCAGGAGTCCTGGGTACTTACTGCCTTCATCAGAGTCATAGCTATTAGCATCCTCCTCCTCTTCCTCCTGGGGCTGCTGCCGCAGCGGGGCGGCAGGCGCTGGTGGGACAGCGGGGGGCTGTGGGAAGGCGGGGGGCTGCCGGGCTGGCCTCTCCTCTCTGGCGGGGGGCATGGCATAGCCCCCTCCTCGCTCCTCCCTGGCGGCGGTGCGGGCCGGCTCCGGGGGTCCCAGTGGTGGGCTCACTGAGGGAGGGACCTTGTTAGCCCGCAGCGCGCTCTGCCCCCCAGCCCCTCGCAGGCAGCCGAATTTTACCTTGTCTCTCCGGGAACCGGCCAGCCGCCCCGGGACCCGGTCTTCCCGCTGCCAGTGGCGCTAGGGATAGATGCAGCATTACTAGGGCATTCACCTGGGCAATGCTCTCCATCCCCTCTCCCACCCCAGTGCTGGCACTATCCCCCAAGCAGGGGGGTCCCTGCCCATGGCAGGGCATTGGGGTGTCCCCCCCGGGGACTGAGCATCCTGGCTGCATCCCCATCACATCCTACCTGGGGGTGCTGCTGGACTGGGACCAGGAGTGAGGCCAGCAGCAGCTGGCGGGGGCGGCCGTGGGGCTTGCAGGGAGTTGGTCCGCTTCACGCCTGCAAGGAGAAGGGAGAATCAGCAACAGCATTTTGGGCCCCGGAGATTTTGCCTGTGTCGAGGAGGGGGTTACAGCTGGAATTCGGCCAGGAAAGGGCAGCCAGAGGCAGCTGAGAGGAAAGAGGTTTGGCAGATGGATGGAGGTGGCCGAGATAACGGCTTGGCCCCGCACACTTTTTGGGGTCAGCGCTGCAGGGCATGGGTGCAGCCCAGGCTGGAGCAGGGAGCGTTTCACTAGAGGGACCCCGTGCTGCGCCGATCCGCCTGCAAAAGAGGGAGACGCGGGAGAGGTGGAACAAGGAGGATGGATGTGGAGGGTGGCTGGGTGCTGGAAAGCAAACAAACCCGGGAGCATCGCTGCGATGCCCGTCACGCCCCCATCCCCCCACACGGCCGGCTGGCAGCAACACCCCAGGACCACTGCTGCACAGCGTCCCCCGAGACAGCCACGGGTGCACCCTCAAGGGTTATCCACCCAAACACGAATTAAGACACCAGCTCCCCATGGCAGGAGCCTGGGCAGCCCTGAACACCCCTCTCCAGCTATTACCTGACTATCCTGCCATTGAATATTCCTTTCTTCCTCATGGAATTAAAGAGGATTTGGATATTTTCCAGACATTTTTAGCTTCACCAATTAAATCTGCAAGCTCAGCTCCTAGATGAAAAGTGGTCTCTGCAAGTGCTTTTCCCCTTCTGGAGGCACCTGGGGAGGATCCAGGCCCTGCCAAACGCTGTCAGCCACTCATTCGTATCACAGCCATTTACAATAGCTTGGAGCACATCAAATTTTCACGAAACAAGAAACGACATCCCCAGCCAGGCCCCTGCCAGCAAAGCACGGGCTCCCACAGGCAGGGCTGGCCCACGCCTGCTCCTTTGGCAGCGCCTCATGGGGCACCTGCCCACCCCGGCAGTGAGGTGGGGGCATAGCAGCATGAAAAATGCTTTTACTTAGGGTCTCAACTCAGTTGCATTTCATCTCTGCTTAAAATCAGCCTGGTAAGCACTGAGCCTACTCCTCTCTTCACTTACAGCTCTCACATTGTGCATGGGGCTTTCCAAATTCATGTCCTTCCATGGGCCATAAGGTGCCCCTCTGCAGGGAAAAGCACGGCAGGATCCTGCCTCTCCTCCCTGCATGCTGGGGAAGGGATAGCGATCCCTCTCCACGCCTCCCCCTGATCCCACTAACACCCCGGACCCCTCCATCAGCAAACCCCATGGAGCAGTGTAAAACAGCAGACGAGCGGCGCGGGAAGCAGGCACCAATGCTCTGCAACGTGAAATCCCTCAGCATCACTTAGTGCTGCACATCGAGAGCAGAGACAACCCTCGCACGGCTGCCGGCTTCACGCCCCCCAGCCCTCTCCTTCCAAGCATGCAGAAGTGTGCACAAGCACACAGAATTGCACACAAGCGTGCAGAAGCGCAGCTCTCACCAGGGCTCCTGCTGACCCCGCTCTCGGCAGCATAGTCGTGGCTGTCGGCATCGCCACCAGCGTGCTCGCTGCCGCACGGGCCCGGCCTGCCCTCGGCCATCTTGCGGCCGGGCACCACATAGCTCCCCCGGGCAGCCGCCATCACATCACTGCCTGTGGGGAGAGCAATAAAGGCAGCAGTGAGGCTCACACGCCAACCACCCATCTGTCCCCAAAGCCAGCCCTGAGAGCAGCCGCTTAGGTGATGCCCAGCCTGGGCACGAGCAGGAGGAGGAGGAGGATGGGTATGGCCACTGCAGCATCACCCCCAGAGTGCTGAGGACTGCCAGCCATCCGGCACCTGCGGGGCGGCAGGAGGGCTCTGCACCATCAAACCTGCACACGGTGGCCAGGAAAGACCAAAGGACACGGCAAACCATGGGGACATGAGAGCGCCACAGCAAAACAAGGCCAGAGGCATCCATCAGCCGGTCCTCAGCGCCCGTCAAACCCCTAATGCCATTACAGCTCCACAGTCCCTGGGACAGGTGGATCATATTTTCTTTTTGCTGATCATTTTCCATTTATTAATGAGACAACGGTGACAGCTGCCTTTGCCTCTCACTTCCATCCACCCCGAAACGGCCATCCCAGTGGATAAATCCCAGGCTGCACGCACCAGGGTGCCGAGACCACTTCGTGGCGATAAATTGCAATCCATGGATGTGATGGAAAAGGTCTCGGCGCTCACCTGGCTTGTGCCAGAGACGCCAGGTATAAATCTTTGCTGTGACATAAATGGGATGTTTATCCTTGGCTGGGCTCTCAGGGTCACCGGGCGCAAGGAGAAAGCGAAACGCAACAGATTGCAGGTGGGGGAGAGGAGGGAGGTAAAAATGCCACGATGCTGAAGAGGAGGGAGGAGGGGAAATGAGCATCCACAACCAGGAGCCCTGTGGTGCAGAAATAGCAATGCAATAAATAATTTTCCAAGGGAGCTTTAGGAAAATCATGGGCACGTCATGAGCATGCTGATCACCAGGAGGATGCTGTGCAGCCTGACAAACCCTCCCTGACTCACAGGTGAGCCGGCAGCTTAATAAAAGCAGCCTGTTGTGGGGCCAGGAAGGTTAATGGCACCAGCTACCATCGCGATTAAATGGTCTTAATTAAGCAGTTTCCCCAACTGCTGCATGGGAAGATGAAGATCATCACTTGGCACAACTGGGCTGGGCACAGCCTTGCCAAAGCTCAGCCGGAGCCCCCCACCAGGACTGTGAGCCATAGCATGGGCTGTGGCTGAGCCGGGGTACCCCGCCATGGGTACCCCCGCCCCAGCTTGCCCCGATACCACCACCCAGACACGCAGGCCGCATCCCCATTGCAAGCGGTGCTGCAGGGTGCAGGGAGCATGGCTCAGCACAAGGCTGTGCCACCCACCCTGCCCACTGAGATGCTGCCTGCCCGCAGCCCACCCAACACGGAGCAAAGTCCCAGGCAGCCGCAACTGGGAAATCAAACACAGCCCCGGGAACCAGCCGTTAAAGCCTCCTGCGCACCGATGGCCATCTGCCAGCTGGGCTGTCACTGCCACAACAGACCCTGGGCTAAAGGAAGGGTGGGACAGAGGGGACAGCTCCGGCGGCGGGGTTGTGTCCTCAGCCCCCCACTGCCTCCTCCATGCAGCCAAGGAAGGGGAGAGGAAGAGGCGGGGGTGGGGCCACCAGGCTGCTCCCAGCCTAATCATGGCCCAGCCAGGAGCAGCCGGTGCTGGAGCAGGGTCAGGTAATCTCATCACTCAGCACTCCGATGCCAAACTGTGAAAATGGGGGCTATTATTCAAAATTAACTCCCAGCAGCACAGCCGGTCCAGGAGCAGCAGGAGCCCCGACCCCAGCTCCTGCCAGTGCTGGCAGCAGCATCCAGGGGATGTGGGTCCAGAGCAGCACAGGGCACATACGAGGTTAGAAATTGGTGAACCCTGGCAAGGAATACGGCTTCACCCCTGTAAGCAGGAGGCACCAATCGCTGTTGCTTAACACAGCCCCCCTTGGCCGGTGTTGCTATTATACACAATGACACAGGCAGAGACTCGGGGGGCTGCCGGTGCTGGAGGGAACAAGGTATAACCATAAAAAAAAAGACCGTTGCATCCTCACCTTGCTCTGGTACCCATGCAAGGCACAAGCCTGGGCACAGGGCACCGGCACCAAGAGCTTCAGTGGGGGAAACCCGATGTGGCTGGAGCAGAGATCAGAGCAGCTCGGCTGCTCTGTCCCTCGCAGACATGCATGAGCCCCCCACGAGCCTCCTAAAGTTTCCACGGCAGGTTTTCTAAGGATTGCCATTAAATAACCAGAAAAATACCCGTCAATCAGCATCAGGAAAGGACACCTACAGAGGCAATTCTGCTCAGCACTCTAAATTGCAGCGTTTCAGCCCAGGCGTGTGCAGTAGGTGGGGAAGCCCCAGAATAACTCGGTCCCCGCGCGGTGGGTGGCAGCAGCAAGGAGAGATCTTGCCGCTGCTGCCTCCCACGGGAAAACACCGCAGGGCAAGGATGGAAGGAGAGAGAGGGCTCAGCACAGGCGGCACCGAGGCAGCGGCGCAGGGGAGGGTGCGAACGCCGGTGCTTACCATCGGAGTCCTGCTCGGCCGGGGTGTCCGCCTGGCCTTGGGGGCACAAACAGAGCGAGAAGCTGTGAAGCTGCAACCCACCCGCCCCACCAACGCCAACCCGGGACTCCTTCCCCAGGTTTCTTTTTTTATTCTTATTTTTTCTAGGCTTCTGCATCACTGTGTTCATACCCAGGCACTGCCCGAACCCCCAGCCGGGCACCCCAGATCCCCACCCAGGGCTGCTTTGCTTGAGGACATCCCTGCAAACCCAGCCATCCTGACTTGAACAGCCCAGAGAAAGCCTCAGCAGGCAGCGAGGCGATTTCTGCACCCTTTACAAAACAGGCAGCAGCTACGCAACTGCTCTGGATGCTTTTTGCTAGGGCTCGCCCTTGCAAACGATGGGGAGGAGGCCCAACGCCTCGCTGGCTGGACCCCTGCCCCTTGCACAGAGGGAGGGGGTCAGCACCCGCTGTCACCTACCTCGGGTGGGTGCGCGGGAGAGGAGTTTTGGGTCCTGGGCGGCTGGCTCCAGCGGGCTGGGCTCACTCGGGGCTTGGGGTCCCTTGTTCTTGTTGATGGGCATCGGCTGGGGCAGCACTTGCTTGGGCAAACCCTTGAAGAACCAGGCACCGGAGCGCTTCCACACCTGGGGGTGCAGGCAGGGGGATGCTGGGTGAGACCTGGCAGCCTTCCTCCCCCTGCATCACCGGGGCCTGCCTCCATCAGGCAATGCTAAGGACGTGCACCCCCGTACCTCCCTGCCCCACAGCAACCCCACAGCCCATCCTGCTAATGAATTAACTCTTCAGCTGTTGCACACTGTAGGTGGCAGGGAGCCGATCTCTTGCCACGACAGCCTCTTCAACACCAAGACTTTGTTTTCTCAAAAACAAAAAAAGCATTTTATATAAAAGACAAGATCATCCTATATGAACCAGACTCAAGTAGCTGGGCAAGTTTTAACAGTGCTGGGGGACAGGCTGAAAGTCTCTGGGAGCATCCCCCAGTCTGGAGGTGGTCCCGTCTCAGAGGTCTGGGGTGAAACCAAGGGCAGGGACCGTGTCCCCACTCCGGCACGAGGAACACCCAGGGCAGGAGAAGTGCCCGGGCTGCCACGCTCACCTCCCGCTGCTCGCTGCAGATCTTGCAAAGCCAGATGGCGTGGGGCCGGCTGTTGGTGGTCTCCACCCCACACTTGGTGCAGACGTTCTGCAGAGAAAGCAAAGTGCCAGGTGGCAGCGGGGACGCCACAGCCACCAAAAGGTCCCACCCCACCAGCAGGACCCCTCAGGAGCACAAGGTTAATGAGAGACGGTTAACAAGAGCTCTCCCAGCACAAACATTGGTGATTACAGAAAGCCCCAGGGTTGTCCCCTTGTGCCACATGCAGAGGGATGCTGGGCAATCGAAACACGTGCCACAAGATCGAGGTGCCCATTTTTGCACCGGGGGGGATGTGTGGGGCCGGGGGACTGCACCCGGTAGCGGGTCACAAGAAGATGCCTCACCTTCTTGCAGTCCTCGCAGACGACGCAGGCAGATCCCCGCGGCCCCAGCTGCTCCCCGCAGAGGATGCAGCGGTTCACCCCGTCCCCCAGCACGCTCCGGCGCATGTCCTCCAGCCGGGTCATGAGTCGCCTGGCAGAAAGGGGACAGGGGCTGTCAGGAAAGGCACCGCACGGCCGGGATGCGGGGGTCCCGCTCCCGAGGGGCAGCTACTGCCTTTGATCCAGCTGCTCCTTTTCCTGGTGCAGCTTCCAGCAGAGCCTCTCCTCTTCCAGATACAGGAATGCAACCAGGAGAAAAGACACATCCCAGGGGATGTGTCCGAGTATTATATTCCCCTATAGCTTTATATTGCACAACTATTAACTTCCACTAACACGGCCAGAGAGTGGATACCGGCCCCAGCTCCCACATACACACACGTGCATAAAATCCATCCAAGTCAGCACCTTTGCACAAAGTGGTTTGGCATCAGTGAAGCAGCTTTTTCCCCAAATGGAAACATTTCCACCCAGTCCCAGTGACTGCCCACGGAAGAGCTGCGAGAGGAGATCTTGGAAGGGCTCTGGCGGGAGGATGGAATGAATTAATTAGTTTTCTCATTTTCTAAGAAAAAGATTGCATATAATTTACTTCATGGAAATTCTTAGCCCTTTGAGTAAAATGCAAAAAGCCCACTGGAGAACAGACTGTAAAAACACATCTGTTTACTGCAAAGGTAAAAAAAAAAACCCAGTTAAGCAACTTCTGAAGAAAAAAAAAAAAAAAAAAAAAAACCACAAAACCAAACCAGCACGGGCAAAAGCAGTTTGCAAAGCAGGAGCCGGAGCGAGCTGCCTGCTGAGCACCCAGGAGCTGATGGCAAGTTGTACGCTCAGTTAACCCAGAATCCTGGCCCTAAAAATAGCACTAGAAGGGAAAAAGGATGCATTATTTATGCCATTCAGCGAGGAGGGAGATGGAATGAAGAAAGGGAGGAGGAGACCCAAGCCCACCGTGGAGAGCAGCAGCCCCCCTCGCCTGCGGGGCTGCCCTCCGCTCCCATGGCAGCCCGACCCCAAACTGACAAAACCGCTAACACGGCGGGTCCATCCGCTCCCATGGCAGCCTGACCCAAATCTGACAAAGCCGCTAACACGGCGTGCCATAAAAAACACCCGACATCTAAAAGACATTTTCCCACATGTCCGATGACAGCTTCAGATTTATGACAGCTCGGCTGCCAGCACCTTGGAATCACTCATAAACAATATATAAGCTCCCCTCTACATAAGGCGTCTCTGCGGTTGGTCTCCAGCTGCTCGCAGGACGGCCAGCGGCCTGTGGACTGCACATGGAAACGCAACGGCATTATTGTACATGGGTGCTTGATAAAGGCCTAGCAGCAAGAGGGGAAAAATAAAACATCATGGAACATGCAACCTATTACAGTTCATAAAATGCCCCACTGGAAACTCGCTGCAGTCAACAGGAGCATCTCGAAGCACTTCATCAGCCACTGAGTCAACCCCAAAGGGGGGACGCGGCTCCGTGACTCAGCGCGTGTTATCTGACCAAAGCTGCGTTATTACAACATCTCGTTTAGGTGGAAGATGTTGGCCGTGCTATAACCCACCAGAGAATTTCCCACTCCTCCCCACGCAGGGGGCTGATCATCTCCCGGGGGCTTGAGCACACCGCGGGACAAGGCAGCTGCCAATGCGGAGGTGCCTCCTGATGGTTATTAATGAACCTGCAGCCCATTCCCAGCGAGGAGGCGGGAAAGACGGCTGGAGCCGGGCAGCCAGTGGAGCCAGACGGAGCCAGCAGTCGGGAGAAATCACTAGTTTCACAGCTACAGTGTCACCAGACAGCAGACAGGTGAGCTTGCAAGTTCCTTCAGTTTTCATCGCCTGAAGTTTCGGCAGTGACATGACTCAGGCTCTCTAAATACAGCAATTCTGCTTGTCAACCTGAGCTAGTTCGTTTCCTGGACAAAACAGTTTTTGTTGAAAAATAACATGCCTGGACCACAGTGACGTGCTTTAATGCCTTTCCACTTTGCTCTTAACGGGGAAGCTATCTGCTAGCCTAACTCCCTGCTCCGGTGTTATTCCTGAGAGACGTGGCTGTCTATCCCTGCCCTTGAGCATCTGCTTACTGCTTTGCAGGTGACCCACAAGTGATTTCTTCCTACAGAATAAGTCAGCTGCTAAAGCCATCATCCGCTCTTGGTGCCTTCCCAGGCTGCGTGGCCGATACACCCGGCTGCAAAGAGGGAAGGTCTCAGTGATTTCAAGAGAGCTGCATCGTCCCATAAACACCCAGCCAGCAACGAGCAGCATTCCAATTAAAACCTGGAAACTGGCTGTTCCCCGAAGGTTTCTTATTTAAATGAAATTAAACCCACCACATGCAATGCTGGGTCCCCATGAAGAGCCCCCAACAGCAAATAACCAACAACACCCAGCTTCATCACAGCACATTGCTCCCACCTGGGCAGGGAAAACATTTTGGGGCAGAACCTTTATTTTCCTAGCATCAAAGCACATGTACAAGCCCATATCTTCTGCAATTCTCCCCCCGCCCTGTGCCGCAAGAGCTCTGCTCCAAGAGAAGCAGCTTCCAGTTGGAAATCTGCAAGCCCAAACAAACTTATTATAGAAACTAGAACAAATGGCACAATCAAAGCAAAAATAAGAAGCCTTTGCATTTCAAGAGATTCATTATTTAGCTGCAAAATCTTTCCCAGTCTCTCAGAAGCAGCTCCTTAAGAGGTTTTTTTAAACCAGTGGAAGAGCTTCAGCAGTCAGTACACACCTGTGGCACCAGTTCCAAACGAAGCACATTTGCCTAATTAAAACATCCATTCAAGCTGGAGAAATTGGGCTTTTTTTTTTTTTTCTGCTTCAAGCTCTGCCATGAGAAGACTGTATAAAAAGTTAAAATTTAAGTCCTGGCATGAAGCTGGCAGAAAGAGGGCAGGACCTGGGGAAGGGGGTACCACACCGAGACCCATGGGCTGGGAAGCTCCTGATCAAGGCGATAACTGGGAGCAAAGAGCCCAGGTTTCTCTTCAACTTCATCCAGCACCACCCTACGCAGGTGCTGGAGCCCCATGCACAGGCTGTTCATCTACCACTAACCAATAACCGGAGGGATGCCCTGCTCTTGCCCAGGTAGCAGCCAGGAACAAGCTTTCTGCCTTCCCAAAAGCTGTTCTCTCCCTCTCCCCTATAATTTGTTTCTCATTTTTATTGCACTTAAAATAGCCATCCAATTCATCGCTCTCTGTCGCACATCTCTACGGCTACAGCAACATCTTCCTTACCATTATGCGCACTTCAAAGTGCCCACCCCTCTGGCCTCTGTAAGACTAACTTCAAAGAGCAGGAAATATGCTTCTAATTGCTAAAATAGGGGGAAAAAAAACCAAAAGAGGAGTAATTGAAGCCAGTGGCAGGGAGCTGGCTAAGCCCGGCACCCAGGAGCCTTGCCACTACTGGAGACAGCCCTGCAGAGAGGGAGAGCATCCGTCATGTGCCAAAGAAATGCTCCCATCAGTGACTAATGTGTAAGACATAAGAACGGGGCGATATGCTATATCTGAAATGCTTAACATGCACCTGAGATGATAATAGCAATAAAACAGTCCCCTGATAATATATCATCCGCCTGGCCCCATAAATATGGTTTGGAGGAGAAGGACAAGCAGCCCTAGGGCAGCGAGGGCTGGTGGGAGACATCCCCTGCCACCTCCTGCCTGCACCCAGGGGCGCAGGCAGGGGAAGGGCTCGCGTTTGGAGAAAGACCTGCAAACATCTCCCATGATTTCAGGCAGGCGGAGGGTCCCACAGGGACGTGGTGAAGGCTGCTCGCCAGGCTGAGGGACCATCTAGGATTCACCTAGATAGGACAGAAACCCGCAGTGCTATGGCATCGGCATTTTCTCTTGCGCTAGGACCAGAGCAACCCAGAGAAGGACAGAGAGTCACTGGCATTAAGTGCTGATGATCTCGGGAAACAAGACTTAACAGCAGGGCAGGCACGCAAGAGTTTGTTGTGTTTAAATATTCATTGCCACTCTGCAGAAATGAACGACTAAAGACGTGCCTAATGGGTTTTAAACTGCGTTGGAGAGGACATTTAATGCAGCAGACAATGAACTGCTGCACAGGGGCGGGAGAAGGACCTGACCTGCGAGGAAGGACCTGATCTGGGCACCACGAGCTGTGCTCCCCAGCCCCGCGCAGGAACCAGTGGGGACGGACTCAGCCACCGCTTACATGGCAAAAAAAATGCAAGTAAAACACAAAGGAGGTCACAAAGTGCCTCCAGAATTAAGCACTGACTTGTCTCCGTGGGGAAATCATGTGCCTTAAAGGGCTGAATATTAAATTAAGACTAATTTTAACAGTATAAAGAGACAAGAAAAGAAGCCAAGCTACAAATTAAAGAAAACATAATTAAAATCAGGATGAAAAATTAGAAGCAATTTTCTTCCCTTACAAGTGCACAGGTAACTAAAGGCAAAGCATCCTTTGAGCTCTTACAGGTCGACTTTCAAAACTCATCCTCCACTGAGAGCCCTTACTATGGAGGGAAGATGCCCAAGGAGGCCAGGGGGATTCCTGCATTTCAAAGTATCCCCTTCCACACTAGGGCATCACTCCAGGTGCTTGCTGCCACCTGTGATGTGTTACAGGAGGGTTGTTATTTTGCAGGTTCATCCCAGTCTCACAAATAAGAGACAAGTTTGGTTTGTTTTTTTTTTGGGGGGGGGGGGGACACGACAACACACCAAACCCCACAAAAATTCAAGAAGCACATGAGCTGTCTCCTGGCCATGAATTAACCTCATCTCTTCTAGAAACTGGCATGTCAGGAGACATTTCTGTCTGTCTGTGTCCAGCAACTACCTTGCCCTTCCTAGCCTCTAATTTTATTTTTGTGTTGTCTGAATACGAGGAAGAAAATATGAGACTGTGGTCCCCGGAGAGTGTCTCTGCTGCTGGCCACTGAGGTTAATGACTTAATCCCCTGTGACTTCTGCCATCTGCTCCAGCATTATGCATGTGTCATCCCAGCAATAAGCAGCCAAATTAAAATGCAATCCTGCTTGATAGCTGGTCCTCTTGGAGGAAAGGTGAGGGGCTGCGACCCATGGGGAGACAGTCAAACCATTGCACTTTTAGAGGGGACTGGAAGGAAGGGAATAGCTGCACCCAGGCAAGGGCACGGCCGGATCCAGGAGCGATGTGTCACATCCTCCCTGGGAGAACCAGCTCTGTGCCACAAGGCACTCTCCAGAAATGGCAATTTCTAACTTTGGATGGTTTAAGATAATTTCTTCGATGCCAAAAGCACCATGGACCTCATTAGGCAGCAGAGCAGGCTGGGTGGGTTATTGATGGCACACAATTATAGGTGCATAAGGGAGTCAATTAGTGCCTACAGGTGCTCCCATATCAGCTGGGAGGAACGGGCTCCTCATGGACCACAGCTGGAGCATCACCACCACCACCGCAGGAGCATCACAGCAGGAGACAGCACACAGCCGCTGTAGGGACACCCTGAGCAAGCTCAGGCCAAGTGGGGAGGGAGAAGGGATGAGAATGGATCAATCCCTGCCGCAGGTCTGCTTTGCCCTCTGAGCCCTTTTTCTTCTGGCTTTCAGCCCCTGTGCCCCTAAACTGGCCCAAAGGATTATCCCCAGGCAGCTGTAAAGTCCTTCATTAACTCATGCCCGACACACTCTTGCTGTATCACTGTTTCAGATTTTTCAGCTCCTATTATCCTTCTCTATGCTACAAGACGAGCCAGAAAAACAAAAAAAAAACCAAAAAAAAAAACAAACCGCAAACCCAAAGTGTCCCTGTCCTACAATCCTCATCAGCATCCAGCTCACGTATCGCGTGGGCCTCCATCCACCCCTGGTACTAAAAATACTCTTTCGCTAGATTAATTTGAGCTGGGTTTGACATGAAGTCCGATTCCACAAACAGCATCGATGCCAGTTCTCAACAAGCAGCATCGATTTGTTCCCACCCTGCCCCGGCTGGCCGAGGTAAGGGGCTCGTGGGACGGCGGATAAAGGAGAAGGGACATGAGAGGGCAGGAGATGGAGGAGATGGATGGCACTAAACCAGGAGGGACTTCAAGGCACGAGGAGGTTCATTTGCAACCAGCACCCAGCTGCTGAGTTCGTGATTGCTCAAGTATTACATGTAAAGCTCAAATGCACCCCCTCAAACACATCCACTTATTAAGACAAGTCCAAGTATTTACCACATGTTCCCCCTTTGGAAGACACATTCACTTCATTAAGCTATTCCTTACGTTAACCAAAACCAGGTTTTTAATGGGTCTTCCTTTTTTTTCCCATTACAGAAATAGAAAATCCCAGAAAATTGCAGAAAATCAGGCTTTCCAGGGGCATCTCCCTAGAGCAGCCTGTCCGACCGAGGGACACTGTCACAACCGCTGCATCCCTGCCAGAGGCCAGCCTGGCAAACCCGGATTATTTTGTAATATAAGGAGCTATCCTGGATAACATCCGAGCAGCTCCTGAACGGGTGATTCTGTACGAGACTGATATAGACGCTGTCCCATATTTCTGTAGCTGCACATCCTACAGCTCTTGTTGTGCAAGCCAACAAACACAAAGGAGTTGGCAAGGCTCCTGCTACGCCTACACGCAGGAGGCAAATCAGCTGCGACTGCACATCCGCCAGCCTTCCCTTGCTCTACTCCAAGTACGGCACGAAGTCCTCCGCCTGGCTTTTTCATGAATGAGGATGAGAAAACCTCCTCCGACTCGGCTAACGAAAGCAAAAGGGAGAGTTTCTGCAGGTTTGCAAACAGCTGCAGGTATGCACAATGCAAAAAACAAACAAAAAAAAAATCTCTCCCTCACTGCTAAAGTTGATTTATGCATAAACCAAAGAGCATCACGTTTGAGAGTAATTCTTACTGGGCTGCAAATGTGCAAAGCTGGGGAAACGCTGTTTGTAAGCACTTTTCGGGAATGAATCACCACCATTCATAGCTACTTTCACCTGGTTTCTGCCAGAAAGCCAGCAGAGGAAAGCATTGCACGTTGTAACGCGAGGCAATGCCAGCCGGGAGCCACCCCGAGCCCAGGGGAGCAGCACACCCACGGGGCACACGCCGAGCCCCAGGCAGCACGAACAGCCGCCGCGGAGGCGATACCTGCCTAAGCTGTTCACAGGCCTGCTCCTAACAAAGTATTTCTAAAAATGAGTAAATAAATCCACCACTTAGGAGGCAACAGGCTGCAGCCACCAAGGAAGACTGTGTGCTGCAGCTGGAGCACCCCATGCCTGCATCGCAAACGCACGCTCAATATTTCAGGGTTATTAAGCAGCCGGAGTGACGGATTAAAGCTCCGGCTGCAGCGCGAGGCTTTGTGGGCGCTGGCAGGTCCTCTCTGCATCTCACCAAGCGGCTGCCCTGCAGGGCCACGCGCCTGTTTGCTGAGCAAAGCTGTCCCTGAGCTACGAGAGGGGCTTTGACGTTCTCCGAGGCAGCAGAGCGCACAGCTCCTGCCTGGGCCTGAGTATTTTCCCTGCAAGGAAAAACAAAGCAGTTGACGTTTAAGCTCAGCAAGAATAAAATGCTCCTCTGTAATGAAAAAAAGGCATGACGCCTGACAAACAGGATTATGGAGATCCCCTCTGGAAAACCATCCCCAGCACAGCAAGTCGATACCTAATTATTAGCATTATTTCGCCTGGCACCTTTGTCCAGGCAGGGTAGAGACGCAGTAAAAGCAAATACGGGCACTTCTTGCCCTCTGCTCCACACCAGGGTGCATCAGCACCGGGGATGCCCACAGCACCTGCCAGCAATCGTGGCTACCCCACCACAGATGCGGCTGGGGCAGCACCAGCACCCCCAGCCCCCCCAGGAGCTGGTCCCAACTCCTGGCCAGCCCTGAGGCTGGGCATCACTCAGACCTATTCAGCTTCACAGACAGCTCCTTTCTGGGTGGCAGGAGCGATTAACTGCCAGGACACGCAGCTGGAAGGGGTGATGGATCCATCCATGTTCCCAAAACAAGATAAAACACTTTTTGGTGAGCCACGGTTTTGCCCACGCTCACGGGCACCTGGGCTCAGGACTGGGCAAGCAGCAGCAGCAGCTTCACTCCACGAAATGAGATGTTATTAATGATCCCTTCTTGACCAGAGGTGGGGGGGGAAATCAATAAGGCTATAAATTCTTGGTCCAGAACACAGCGGCACACCGAGTGGCAGCGGCATGCCGAGCGGCTCCCTCCCCTGCTTACAGGTTCCTCCTGGCCAAGGACCAGCACCAGCTCAAAAAGATCCCCCGCAGGCTCCCTTTCAGGAGAAACACTGCAGTGCAGTAGCTGCCGGCCAGGAAAGCAGCCAAGCAAGCGCTTTCCCCCACAGGCACCGGCAAGGCTCAGGGTCCCTCCCGTCCTGCCAGCGCGGTGGTGCCGGTGCCACCACTGCCTTACCCGATGCGCTCCTGCTCCATTTCCTCCATCTTCTCAGCCCGGGCGATGACTCGGTTGATGATCTCCTTCTCCTCGTCCGTCAGCTCCTCGCCCTTGCGCTGCCAGTCGGGCTGGCCGCCCCGCGATGCCCAGCCGGCAGGGAGCCTGCGGGGAGAGGGGGGCCAGGGCTTCGTCCACAGATCATGTGCGTGCGTGCACATGTGTGTGTGCAATCACGCGCGTGTGTGGGCAATAGCCAGGCACCCATTCCCAAGCCCAGGGAAGAAGGGGTACGATACCTCTCCATCCTCCAAGCTCTCTTCTAGTAGGAAGCCTGCGAATGGCCCCCGCCCACCAGGTGGAAGCTCTTATTCCCATTTGGGGGGGTTTCATATGGAAACACTTGTTTCATATGGAGAAAATCAATTCTTTTTCAAAAATATTCTCATTATTTCCATGTTAAGCATCAACTGATGTGCCTAATTTTGCACCCTGCTCTCTGCCACGTAACACCGGGTTTGCCAGTGAGCTGCGGTACCGAGGCAATGGCCATAGGAGCGGGCCTTTTTTTGGGTACGTTTCATCAAACATGGGAGTTCTTCCTCTCCTAACATCCTTTCCAAAGATCCTTTCACACAGCAAGCACAGCCTGGGCATCAAGCAGCTTTAACCTGGTGACACACGAACATCTGCCACTGAGCCCTGCAAATTAGCAGGCGGCAGAGGGGCAACGCTAACAAAGGACGCAAAAGGCAAACGCGCCTCCTCCTTCTGCTCATCTAAAGACCTTTCCTGGGTCTTTTGCCCCTGGGCTGAGCAGATCCACACAGTCTTAAACCTTAAAATTCATTAAAACCCTGTGCAACGCTTCCCCAAATTAATTGCTTTTATCTTGCAACCGGGGCAAGGTTTTTTCCCCGTTCTCTCAAGACCGTTAGAGTAGCAGGTAAAGAGCAATAGGCCAAAAAAAAAAAAAAGGGAGATACTTACTGCTCCAAGGATTAGGTGGGAGAAGGGAGAAGGCCAGCTCAGCCCGAGCGCAGCCAGCGCTCTCCCCGCCTCGGGGGTGGCAGACCCTGACAGCATGTCCCTCTCCATGGACCCCCACTGCTCCTCCAAAGCGTTAAGGTTAACTGAACACAAGCTTTGCCCAGCTTCTGCATCGTCCAGGCACCCAAAACTAGCACCCATCTATGGGTGCTGCCACCACCCATCCAGCCGGGACAGAGACCTGCCGCGTGGTGGGATGCAGCATCACCCTGCACGGTGGCTGCATTCGAGGGCATCAGGACAGACGGACAGGGCTCCTTGTCAGAACAGGGGTGCGTGCACACCCATGGGTCTGTCCCCCCCACCGTTTCTTAGGGGGTTTAGGAGGCAACATGGCAAAATGTCCCCATCCAACCAGTGCAAAGCCAATTCCCAATGTCCCCAGAGGAGGAACGGGGGTGACCGCACCCGCGTCTCCTCCCTCCCGCCCCAGCAGCACCCCTGCAACGCCGGTGCCCTCCTCTCACCTGGCCCGGAGAGACATGGTCCTGTCGCTGGGGCACATCCACCGGTCAGAGCTGCCGCCCACCACCGCATCGGTCATTGCTGGCTGCCGAGGGGACCCAGGGACACGCAGAGCGAGGTTAGGTGCACGGGTGCTCCACCGACGAGCGCCAACTCGGCACACCCGGGAAGTCAATCACTTTGCTCGTCTGCCCGCGCTCTCCAATAGCAGTGATGTCAATGAAGATAACGTGGTGCTTTCAGCCACGCTGTACAGAGAGAAGAGAGAAAAAAAACCCAAAACACATGGGGCAGGGCTTTATTTTTGGCATTAAGAGGAGTGGGAGCAGGGAGAGGAACAGGAATGTCACTTTAGTCGCTGTCTCGATATCATGCACGAGACACAGAAGCCTACAACCGCCACCCTCCCAGGAGGGCAATGCAGCCGTGCTCAGTGCGGATGTAATTAATGAGATACGCGACCTCACATTAATTATGAGGCTTCAGCGTGGGGA